CACTAGTTTAGTTTTGCTATGTAACAGAATATGCTCAGTGTATTCAATAGCTTTGAACCTTTTTAGAATAGGCTGATTTTTTTTTGTTACATTCTGTCTTAAAGTGGTTATGAAGACTGAAGGTTTGCATGAAGGTAAAAAAAACCTTTATTGTACAGCTCCCCCATCAAACCCTTCATCCCCCCACCCAATACTTACTCGCCCGATCTTGATCCAGCCATGTGCACGACAGCAGCGGCTTTTGTGGGTCTCTCCTTCCTCATTGGCTGAGACATAGCAGTGACAGCCACTGGCTCCCGCTGCTGTTAATCACAGCCAGGGAGGAGGGAGGAGTGGGGGGCGGAGCTGAGACGTGTTCTGTGTGTCTTATAGACACACACAAGTGGCTCAGGAGCAAGCCTGCACAAGTGCCCCCAGAGCAAGCAGCTTGCTCAGGGGGCACTCAGCAGGAAGGAGGGGCCAGGAGCACCGGCGGGGTATCCGAGAAGAGAAGGATTGGGGCTGCTCTGTGCAAAACTATTGCACAGAACAGGTAAGTATGACATGTTTGGTATTTTCTTTTTTTTATATCTGAACCTCTGTTTATATTTAGAACACCAAATAATCACTTGTTATATGACAACAATAGATTCTTCTTGAACAGACACTTCAGGCTACTGTCCTAGTGGGGGAACTCAAACTCAACACAAAAAAAAAAAAAAAGGAAGGTCTGGTCAGTTAAATCAGCAAAACTGGAGTGCAAGTCCTCTTCACAGTGAAGGGGCGCCCCCACTTGTTTGGGTGAGGGAAAGGTTGCTGGCTTTTTTGGAAGCTTGGCAAAAGGTGAATTCAGACAGTCTGGTCCTTTTGTATGGTCACTCACAGGTACAGATTAGCTTTTCGGCTGGTTTATGACGTCAAATGTTAGCAAAAGAGGTTGTTACTCTTTTAGGTGCTAGATAGTCTTCTGGCATAAAGAGTAATCGGGTTGATTCCAGAGACTAAAAGATTCTTCAGATTTTACTCCAGTTTGTTCATAGCCCCAAAGCCCAACAGCGACGTTTGGCCAATTCTGGACCTCAAAATTCTGAACAATTTTCTCAGGGTTCAGACATTTCATATGGAGTCAGTTTGTTCAGTGGTGGCTTTGCTCCAGCAGGGAAACATTCTAGCATCTGTGAACATAAGAGATTCCTAACTTCATGTCCCAATCTTTCCCGAACATCAGAAGTTCTTGTGATTTGCAATAAAGGGCTGGGACTTTCAGTTTTGATACTGGCCTCCTGGGAGGGCAGCACTAAGAGGCAGCCAGGCTGTGCTGCAGTGCACATGCTGCCAGAGGACAAAGCAGAGTGTAACCACATCAATGTCCAACAAAGTAGGTGGTTTTTTTCAGGTGTTATTGAGCAAGTTGTACAGTTACTGTAGGCCTGAATTTATTGTTTGGCAGCATTGTCTGGACTACAAAGCTGGTTGCACAGAGTTACAAATCCTTTGGCATATAGTTTTCTATCAAGTGTATTGTATGTTCAGGTTTAACCTATTTATCAATTTAGCGACTTCAATTTCTCAGTTGATGAAAACAGCCCCTCTACACTTACCTATTCAAAGTAATTCTAGAGGTTTGATTTTTTAAAAATTAAACTTATCATACTTACACAAAACTATTGCACAGAGCAGCCCCGAATCTCCTATTCTGTGGTTGCCCACTGGTGGTCCTGGCTCCTCCTCCCTTCCTAGTGCCCTCATAGCAAGCCGCTTGCTTTAGGGGCACTTGTGCGGCTCAATCCAGAGCCAGGATATATGCATCTGTTGACAAACACAGCACCCCCAGCTTCGTCTTCACAGGAATTGATTGACAGCAGCAGGAGCCAACGCTGGATGGAGATCAGACTCAGTATTTAGGGGGGCTGGGGGGGGGGAGCTGAAGGTTTTTTTTACCTTACTGCAGAGAATGCATCAAAGCATAAGTTCACCTTTATATACATTTTATATCCTTACTTATGGTGTACCATGTTGAGCATCCAGCACCTTAACTCCTCGCCCTCCGATCCGCCCCCTCCCTGTGGCAGCGTGCTGGGGAGCTTCTCCCCACACCCACTGTCACATTTTGAAAGTGACTGCGCCACGTAGAAAATTGAAAAGGACGGCCACGTCATTCATGCACAGAGTGGATGACTGCACACTAGTTCTTTGAAGATCCAAAAATTGTTTAAGCACTTAATCATAACCAATGGTGATTAAGCGCCTCCAGCGTGAAATGCATTAACAGTTTCACCTATCTTTAAATGGCTGTAATGTTTTTATCGATGGATCACTTATAAACAATTATTGGATCTTCCAAGTGCTAGTGTGCAGTCATCCACTTTTTTCTATTTGAGAACCACTCATGTTGTGCCTTCTGGATAGAGGTTTTGAATAATGCAACTAGGTGCTTTAACTGTGATTAAAGGTCTATTTCCCAGCCTATGTTGACAGCAATGCCAAGCACATGTTGGAGGTGCATATATGGTCACCAAACAGATTCCTGCAGTTATTAATAACCTTCAAAGCATTTTAGGACCTAATGTAATTTTTACCTGTAGGAATTTCCTAAAAGCTAAACTCCAGACTAAGTTAAATACACACTAGATGTACACATAGTGGAAATTGTTTTACCTGCCAAGCTTTGTAATTCTCCTCAACCAGTCTGGTGATTTCTCTGCTACTACTGCCAGGTATTGCACTTCTTTAGACCTCTCGGTAGTAAAAAGCAGTTGAAATAAATACACATCCTGATCCGGGACCACATCAGCCTGTGATTGGTAAGGGAAGGAGTATAAGTACATAGACAATCTGTTTTCTCTTTTAAGTGGAAACTCCTTAGTGTTATATGAATAGTACTGAGCATGCAGCAGAGCCTCACATGTATACCCACTTTGCCTCTCACACCTGTTCAACCCTTATGGACCAGAGCAATTTTTACATTTTTGCTATGGGCCTGTTTATTCTGCAATAACTTAGTCATTACTTAAAAAAAAAAAAAAACAATATTTGTATTACGTTTTTATCTTTGGACAAATCTTTATATTTGTGAGTATTATCTTGCAACAATGTTTTTTTTACACAATCCTTAAACAATTAAATGTAGGAAAACATAACAAAATGCGCTTTTTTCTTTTTTTGAGCAATGTTAGTTTAAAAATGGTGTTACTACACCTACAAATTGCAGATTTTATTATGTAATTTGTCCTGTTTAAAATGACACTAAAATTATGATTCTGGTACAAAGCATTGCAAAGTTTACAAATGAAATAAAGTGGGTTTTTCAATTTTGTGCTTTTTTTTTTAAAATGTGAAATTTGTAAATATGTTAGAGGTAAAAATATTGTTGAAAAAAACAAAAAGCAACCAAAAAAATATTAAATATTATTAGTTAATAAAATAGAAACCAATACAAAAAAATAACCTGGAAAATAATAATTGAATGGAGCAGAATAAGGAGTTAAAGGAGAAGTACAGCCAAAGCCCCCTGCACAACCCAGCATTCCAGTGAGTAGGTGGTGGGGGGGGGGGGGGGGGGGGGGGGGGGGGGGATCAGAGCAGGCAGCGGTGACTGACAGAGAACACTATCTGTGCTCACAGCGAAGGTGAGTACTCTGCAATCAGTGATTGCTGAGTTCTCACACTTATAGGCAGCGGGGGACAGAAGCAGCATCAGACTAATGCTGCATCCACCTAGGTGACTTGCAAATTGAATGCCAAATTGCAACTTATTGTCTGCAATTAGAGCGGTCATATCGGTGCGGTTCCGACTTGGTCGGAACTGCACCAATTTCTAAAGTAGTATATGCACTACTTTTGGTGCGATTTGCATAGACATCTGTATGCAAATCGCTCCTGTAATCGGCACGTCATCCGACTTTGAAATTGTGCAACTTCACTGTAAGTCGCATGATTTCAAAGTAGGGTTTGATGTGACCGGGGTGTAAGTATAATTTGGGGAAAAAAAGCCAGACTTCTCTTTTAATTAGGGCTGATTAGTGTAAACTAAGGGTTAGTAAGGGGTTAAACAGAGGAACTTTTAATTAAAATCAAAAAAGCTTTTTTATTTTGTCAGTTTGCTTTAACTGATTTCATCTGCAGATTGAAGTTCATCCATTTGATCTGTAGATGAAACAACTACAAAATGAAACAATGAAACATTGTTTCTTTTGAGCAATGTTTTTGATAAAGATTGCCAGACTGCTTTAGTTTGCTTAAGTTGTCAGAACTTTCTCTGTGTACTGGCAATGCTTTGATTATTCAGAGCTGAATTGCCCAATTCTGGGGCAGGGGAGATCCTGGCAGAAGGGCAGAAGGACTGGATGTGTTACACACAGTCTGCATCTGGTCACAGTGCCGTTCTTCCCAGTCTATGTTGCTTTACAGGTATTTACAAAGGGCTAATGTTCAGTTTTTTTTGCCAACTGGCTTTTCTATGCACTTGAAGTTCAGCTTTTAGTATACCAGGTCATGCAGTGCTTTCCTGGTGTGTGTTAGGTATGGACAGTTGTTAGCCCCTTGTTTTTGGCCTGTGATTCTCTGGTGTACTGTATACTGCTGTTTGTGATAGCCTTTTGGTTGATGTATAAAAGTTTTAGAAGAGGCTTTTTTGTCTATAGTAACCATTCAGACTCAGTAGTTGATAGTTAATTGGCTGCCATGGACAGCTATTTTTTTTCTTATCTTTCTTGACTCGTTCAGGAAACTAGTAGAGGAGATATAGAACCAAATGGTTCCTTAAATGAGCTTTGTCCCTCATCAGTGTCTGAAAAAAAGAATTTTATGACAAGTATAAAAAATTTGATTTTATAACATGTTTTTTTCACATCAGCCCCGTTTTTTATTTTTGTTTTCCTCCCAATTACCGCAAAGTATTTGACTCCTATTTTTACTTACAGATGTAATCGTGTATTCCTCCTAAGAAACCGTATTCTTCTGTCAGTGTGCCTGGGTCTGTAGCACAGACACCAATGTGATTGGATTAACGGCATTTCAAGATGAGCCAAGACAAGGGAAAAATATGACTTTTATATTGGGCTCATATTGGCGATCAGCTCCAGTTTTTTCATTGGAGGAAGCTTCATCTTAAAAAAGAAAGGACTTCTCCGGCTGGCCAGGAAGGGCTCTATGAGAGCAGGTATACAGCTAAAGTACTGCGCACAGATATGTAGAACTGCTGTGTATACACAAACACTGCACTTTCACTGTTGTTTTTTTCCTGTTGAATACATATTTTCTCATTTCCAGTCCCAGTTAGTTACCAACACAGAAACTGAGGAGGCATTTTTCCTACAGAGACACAGACCGAAGTTTTGTAGTAAAGTGGCTACAGTATGTGTCAGGTTTGGATTGCAGTTTGTGTCCCTTTTAGGAGGATGTTCCTCATTTCCTGTCCCAGAGATCATGGTTACCAGTACGGGTAAAGATCACCGGCCCAAACAAATTATTTAAAGTGACAGGAAGCATGTAATTTAGCTTTTATTAACCTTTTCCCTCCACCACCCCCCATCCCTTTCAGAAGCTCTAAATGCCGGGAGGCGGGAATTCCAATCATGTGACTGCTATGATTGGCTCTCACAGTGGTCACACGAATGGAAAGCTACCGAGCACAAGTACTGTATACATTGGGAGATTTCCAGTGCATGCTTGTTACTGTGCTGGGAATGCACAGGGAGTGCGCTCTTAGCACAGTAAAGTGTTTACATAGGGCTGCATATGTGTGGCTGCTTAGCATTAAATCCCACCTGCAAAGAGGCCACATATATGCATACAGCTGGCGGAAAGAGGATAAAAAAAAACAAATGAGCTACCTGAAACTCTCTGGGTCTGCCATCATACTAGAGAGGGAACATTCCTTTAGTATTGGTGTGGTATACAAACCCCAGGACCATCTGAGGATTATGATAACCCGTTGATTGATGAGATAACTCAAATGACAATGAAGATAGGGGTTTACCATATGGGATACTTTAACATGTCAGACATTAGCTGGAATTTTCACACCATGCTTACATGTAGGAGCAATATATATAATATTTAATACACTGCTCGAAAAATTAACAGAACACTCTTTAATTTATTGTTGCTTAAGCAAAAAAAGTAATTTTTGTCAAATGAATTGCAACAGAGACCAATTTGGAAGAAACAAAAAACATAAAAACAAGAGATGATACATTGTGCAGCTCTGTCTTGTATCAGCTTTGGTACAACACAATTTCTTGGTAGTTTATTCATATTCTAACAGTTCTGCCAGCAGTTGTGACAATGTACCTTGTTATGCCATCTTAACATTACATTTGCTTATTTTGCATCATACCAAGCAATATACTGAGCAAATTATTAGTGAGGGGCAATAGGTAACCTACTGCATGTCCTGATGTATGCATACACTATGTTCCATGGAAATTCAGCAAACCTCCGAACACTTTCATTACACCCAAACTACTTAGCTTCCAGTGCTTTTGTGTAAATTGTTACTCAGGAATAGAGGTTACTAGAAAGTAATTCTTGTGTAGAGCACGCTAATCTCTATGGAACAACGTACCAACTATTGCCATAGTCCCTAGTCAACAAAAGATGTCAAACTGGGCAACAAAATGTAGAACATACATAGCCTGTCACTATCCTGATATCCTTCTCATGAGGGGCCCTTGCTCAGTACTCAGTGGGGCTTGTGTGCTGAAGTCTATTTTGAACTGCCCATAACATTAAAAGTCTGCATCACGTATGCTTTTATCTATGAAACTCAATGATGTTTATGAGGTCCACTCAAGAACTTTCGAAATAGGGCATATCGAAAAGATTACTTATGTTTTAGGTGGATTTGAAATGTTCTACAAATTCTTACTTTTACTTGCATTTCTGATGTTTATCAAATGTCATGGGCAGAGAAGACAGAAACATGGAAAATGTAGAACATGAAATGGACCTTAACACAAACTTGTAACAGCACTGAGAAAAAAAATAGACAGTGCAACATAAAGAAGTACACCGATGTGCCAGCTTTACTAATGTTGAAAGTTGTACACTACAAAATAGCCTACAGTCTAGTAAGAACATACGAAATATTAAACATCTGCTAAGATTAATATTTCAACTGCATACAGTACAAAATAGGATTTCTTTATATCATATCCCTACCCTTCCCAAACAACCCAAGCCTCCCAAAGCCTTTCACTGTAAAAGGTAACATTCAAAGTGTCAGAACAAACTGGTGGCATTCACCAATAAATCATCTTGTGCAAGTATACAGCCGTAATGTATCCAAAACATACACAGAGGTTTTATTAAATACCAAGGTAAGTATAGCTGGAACCCAAGGTTGCTTTCAGCACTGCCATCAACGGAAAGCATTCAAAAAAATCTTCTCACTAAGCTGCACTCTTCCAAGGATAGGAGAGAAGGGTACAGTATCTGAAACTGCTAACAGGCATTTTTATTACTGGCTTTTGGTTAACTTTGCTTTAAAAAAAGAAAATCAAGAGGGCTGCTGCATGCAGGGAGAAAACCGTCTATAATGGGACATGGCTGAAGAGATATGACACAGATTCGCCATTATGAGTCCTCCTAATTGCTTCTGCCAAGATCATAGAAATGTCGATTACCTGGATCTTTGAGCAGTGCTTCATTTTATCTTCCTGTGGTATTGTGTTGGTAACCACAACAGCCTCAAACGCCGCATTATTGATCCGAGAAATGGCAGGTCCAGAGAAAATGCTGTGTGTTAAAATTGCATAAACTTTTGTCGCTCCAGCAGAAAGCAACTTGTCAGCAGCATGGCATATAGTACCACATGTGTCAGCCATGTCATCAACAAGAATTGCAATGCGATCTTTCACATCTCCAACTAATACCATCCTGTCCACCTCATTCGCTTTTTTCCTTTCCATGTGGATTAAGGCAAACTCAACATTCAGTCGATCGGCAATGGATGTCACCCTTTTGGCACCACCAGCATCAGGAGATACAATGATGCAGTTCTTCCATTCAGGGATGTTCTCCCTAATCCATTGCAGTACTGCTGGTTCAGCATACAGATTATCTACAGGAATGTCAAAGAAACCCTGTATCTGGGAAGCATGGAGATCCATGGTGATAATGTGATCAGCTCCAGCTACAGACAGCATGTTTGCAACCAGCTTGGCAGATATAGGAGCCCGACTCTTGTCTTTTTTGTCTTGGCGAGCATATGGAAAACATAGAATGACTGCAGTGACCCGAGAGGAAGAAGCAATCTTGCAAGCATTTATCATGATGAGGAGTTCCATTAGGTTGTCATTGATCTCACCACAACCACTCTGTATGATGTAAACATCTTCCCCCCTCACGCTCTTGCCAATCTCAACACTGGTCTCCTGGTTGCTGAATTTCTTGGTGACCACCTTGCCCAGCTCCAGTCCGAGCCGCTCTGCCACTTTCTGGGAGAGATCCTGGTGAGAGCTGCCGCTGAACAGCACGATATTGGGCATGGCGCCTGGCACAGGGACACACCAGAGAGGAGAGCCGAAGGGAAGAAGGAAGGAGCCTGCTAGCAATGACAACGGTGGGGGTCCTTTCTTCCCTTCTGTTATCAGGGTGCACGGCTCCGTGTCATGTGGGTGCTGTAGAGGCAACAGCGGGAGGGGGAGAAGGGAACTGGGGAACAGAACACTTTTTAATCGGAGTATAGAATTAAGTCAGTTAAACTCTTGGGATATTGATCTGGTCAGTTAAGTAGCAGACCCCTCTGCTACTTAACTGACCAGATCAATATCCCAGAAGTTTAATTGACTAATCAGTTTGAAATGCTTTGGTGTTAATGAAATTAACAGGTGCACTAGATGTGCAACAATGAGACGACCCCCAAAACATGAATGGTTTTACAGGTGGGGCCACTGACATTTTTTTCCCTACTCGTCTTTTATGACTGTCGCTAGTTTTGCATTTGGCTAGGGTCAGTGTCACTACTGGACCCTACAAAAGATTGCACAGGCGGTCCAACTCCTCCAGGATGGCACATCAATATGTGCCATTGCTAGAAGGTTTTCTGTGTCTCCCAGTACAGTCTCAATAGCATGGAGGAGATTCCAGGAGACAGGCAGTTACTCTAGGAGAGATGGACAGAGCCATAGAAGGTCCTTAACCCATCAGCAGGACCGGTATCTACTCCTTTGTGCAAGGAGCAACAGGATGAGCACTGACAGAGCCCTACAAAATAACTTCCAGCAGGCCACTGGTGTGATTGTCTCTGACCAAACAGTCAGAAACAGACTTCATGAGGGTGGCTTGAGGACCCGACGTCCTGTAGTGGGCCCTGTGCTCACTGCTCGGCGCCATAGAGCTCTATTGGCATTTGCCATTGAACACCAGAATTGGCAGGTCCAGCACTGGCGCCCTGTGCTTTTCACAGATGAGCGCAGGTTCACCCTGAGCACAGGTGCAAGACGTGAAAGGGTCTGGAGAAGCTGTGGAGAACGTTATGCTGACTGTAACATCATTCAGCATGACCGTTTTGGTGGTGGGTCAATGATGGTCTGGGGAGGCATATCCATGGAGAGACGCACAGACCGCTACAGGCTAGGCACCCTAACTGCCATTAGGTATCTGGATGAAATCCTTGGACCCATTATCAAACCCTACACTGGTGCAGTGGGTCCTGGGTTCCTCCTGGTGCACAATGCCTCGCCTCATGTGTCGAGAGTATGCAGGCAGTTCCTGGAGGATGAAGGAATTGATACCATTGAATGGCCCCCACGCACTCCTGACCTAAATCCAATAAAACACTCTTGGGATATCATGTTTTGGTCCATCCGACGCCGCCAGGTTGCACCTCAGACTGTCCAAAAACTCAGTGATGCCCTGGTTCAGATCTGGGAGGAAATACCCCAGAACACCATCCATCATCTCATTAAGAGCATGCCCCGATGTAGTCAGGCATGCATACAAGCACGTGGGGGCCATACAAACTACTGAGTACCATTTTGAGTTGCTGCAATGAAATTTCAGCATAATGGACTAGCCTGCTGCATAATGTTTTCACTTTGATTTTCGGGTGTCTTGGAATTCAGTGTAGGTTGATAATTTTCATTTCCTTACCTTCCTAACACATTACCCAATCCATATCAGTATACATATCCAGCATGATATTTTTCCTCATTGAGATCTGATGAATTTTCAAAGTGTTCCTTTAATTTTTTTGAGCCGTGTATATATAATGAACGCATTGAATGGGATTTCTTTGAAACAGTTATTAAATAGCCCAACCCAAGGAGATCATATTTTAGACCTAGTACTGACAAATGTGGATTGATTATCTGATGCTGAGACGGGAGAAAATTTGGGTTCTAGTGATCACCAATGTCTTTGGTATAATAATAAAACAAGAACTGAAAAATCAAAAAGAAAAATAAAAGTTTATGATTTCAAATGGACACATTTTGCTGAAATTGGTGAATTAAAAAAAAATGATTCAAAGTTTGGAGTAAAACGATAAACAATATGCTTCACTACAGAAGTAAGTAGGCTAGTTAAGGACAAGAAATCAACATAAAGGAAATACAAGGAAACAAAATTATAACCAATGGGGAAAAAATATAAAAACAGACAAAAGGAGACCAAACGCATGCTCAGTACTGCCATAGAAAAAAAGAGGAGGAAATGTTGAGGTTAATTATAAGTGTGTGACACGATGGGCACATTACACCGAGTGTAGAGCACAAGATGAATGGGGAAAGTTCAAATATGTGTTGGAGAGGATGTGGGAGATATAGGCACGGTGTTACACATATGGTGGGAATGTCCGAAAATCCAGGCTTTTTGGAAGACAATAGTCAAGTTGATTGAAGAAATAACTGAAATAGACATAGGGTTAGACCCAACGACGTGCCTCCTACACAATGTGGAGACATCTGTAAATAAATATAAAGATTCAGGTATTTGGTACTTCTTGAATGCGGCGAAAGGGTTGATAACAAGTTTTGGCGGAAGGCTGAGGTACGAAAGGAGGAAGACTGGATTAATAGAGTAAACCAGATAGGTAGAATGGAAAGATCATATCATATGCAGGAAGATAGGATGAGAATTTATTTCAGGAGATGGGAAAAGTGGGAAAGAGCAGGATTGAAAGAGAAATATAGGAAAATATGAACTAGGATGTTAACAAAAAATTAATAAGCCTCAAGAGATTAGAATGGGCTAGAGTCTGCAGAGGGGGAGGAGGGGGGAAGAGGGGCGGGAAGGGGGGGTAGTGGGATGGGAAAGAAAAGAGTTTTTAGTAAGGGAAAGGTAGAAAAATGTTATAAATGTCTATTTGTATGAGAATTATTTCCCTTTTTGGGTTTTTGTATTAACATGAAAAATTTAATAAATATTTAAATTAAAAAAAAAAAAAAAAAAAAAAAAAAAGGAGGAAATGGCTAAATCTATTAAGGAGACAAAACCTTTTTTAGGTATATCCGTGATGGAAGAAAAAATACAAAGGATCACAAAAATAAATACTGGGAACAACAATACTTCTACTGAGTGAGACCTGGATTACTTCTGTTCAGTTTTTTGGGCAGCTGCAGCAGTAATACAGGTGCAACATGTCATAAAAGGTGAACTTTATCCTTTAAGTGGGAAAAAGTTAAATATAGTAGTTGCCTTTCCTCCTGCTTTTGTAGCACAGTGTGTGACAACATCCTCTTTAACCAAATTCTGGGGAATGGTCAGTCCTTCAAATCTTGCAAGAGGAAACTGCAGCACAGTGCTGGGAGCGTTAAGCTAGACATACAGTTTTTTTTTTTTTTTCCTCCATCTCCTGCTGCTGTCAAAATACCTGAACAGCAGCTGCATCTGATTGATACAACCACTGTTTGGCTAACAATTGTTAGGTCCAGGTCCTTCAAAATTTGTGCATAGTATATATCAAACTTTCATGAGATTTAGGTTACGCCTCCTCCAGATCTTTTCAGAAGAAGGTTAACATCCGTTGCTATCTTTTTTTACCTTATCCTTATTTTATGCTGCATTTCACCAAGGAGGGGAGAGGGGAATTTAAAAAGCTGACCTTTTATTTCAACTGCAAGGTTCCTCTTAAGTAGCCAAGGCTTTAGAGTTAACATAACATAATTGCCAGAATACATTTTTCACATAATTAGTAAAGTGGTTGGTCCGTTATAAGAACTGTAATATGTGAAGATGTATAAGAGTATATTACGGTATTATTTGTGTATTACCATTCTAAGGATGAACATATCACATTAAATACTAACATATCATTATTTTTTTGTCATTGCTTGTAGGTCAAGGAGGTCATGCATACCTTAAAGAATGGCTGTGGTGGGCTGGACTTCTCTCTAGTAGGTATTTTAAAAGGGGAAGATGACTTTATTTTCTACAACATGCAGGCTTAACTTAAAGTGATACTAAAGGTTCAGATTATTTTTTTTTTTAAACAATAATAAACCTGTCATGCTTACCTGCTTTTTGCAATAGTTTTGCACAGAGCAGCCCCAATCCTCCTCTCCTTGCGTCCCCTGCTGGCACCCCCTCTCCTGCTTGGTGCCCCTAGAGTAAGTTGCTTGCTCTGAAGGCAGCCATGTGTGCTCACTCTATAAGACACACAGAGCGAGGCTCAGCCCCGCTTCCTTCACCCTCCTCGCTGGATGCAATTAACAGCAGCAGGAGCCATTAGCCAATGGCTCCTGCTGCTTTATCTCAGCCAATGAGGATGGAGAGACTCAGGAAAGGAGCTGCTGTTGTGTATATCGCTGGATTTAGATCGGGCCCAGGTAAGTATTAGTTGGGGCAGAGGGGGGAGCTGCCCACTGAAGGTTTCTATGCATGAAGGTAAACATCAGTCTTTAGAATCAGTTTAAGTTTTGATAGAAAGTTCCAGCATTCGCAACATATATGGACTTCTGTCAACTTGGAATTTTAGTGAAAGAGAACTACTTTATATGCTAAATGCAGACTTGTATAAAATAGAATTCCATGTTTACTATGACTTTAACAAGTTTGAGTTAAGCTGGCCCAAATGAACAATTTCCATTACTAAATGATGCGGCCGATGTGTCTGCTGTATCATACTATAGTAGCATCAGCTACATACAGTACAGTGGGGCAAAAAAGTATTTAGTCAGCCACCAATTGTGCAAGTTCTCCCACTTAAAAAGATGAGAGAGGCCTGTAATTGGCATCATAGGTAGACCTCAACTAAGAGAGACAAAATGAGAAAAAAAATCCAGACAATCACATTGGCTGATTTGGAAAGAATTTATTTGCAAATTTGCAACTGAAGTGATGAAATGCCCGTAGCTTTTCTTGAGAGTTGACAGCAACAGATTCCAAATGCAAATAGCACACTTGAAATGAACTCTGGATGTTTTTATCTGCTCATTGTAATTGGGATAATGAGGGAATAACACACAACTGGCCATGGAACAGCTGAGAAGCCAATTTGCCCATTACTTTTGGTCCCTTAACAAGTGGGAGGCACATATGCAAACTGTTGTAATTCCTACACACCGTTCACCTGATTTGGATGTAAATACCCTCAAATTAAAGCTGACAGTCTGCAGTTAAAGCACATCTTGTTCGTTTCATTTCAAATCCATTGTGGTGGTGTATAGAGCCAAAAATGTTAGAATTGTGTCGATGTCCCAATATTTATGGACCTGACTGTATATACGGGATTTTGCATTTCCGGGTAGGGGGCATGCCCGCACCTATCCGTGCCGCAATTCGTGGCCGCAGCTCTCAATTACCCACCGGCGCCTGGTGATTGCCGAGCATCTCCGAAAGGGAAGAGAACTGTTTGTAAAGAAAACAGTTCTCCTCCCTGTTGGTTTGTGCACAGTGAAGCACACAGACACAGCACTATGTAAAACAGCACAAAGTTAACCCTTTGACAGCCTCATGTTAACCCTTCCTGCCCAGTGCCATTAGTACAGTGTCAGTGCTTTTTTTTTTTTTTTTAGTATTAATGTTACTGGGGATGTCGGTGACACCAAGTAAGTTGCCCCCAGTGTCAGAATGCCCGCCGCAGTCCCGCTATAAGTCACTGATCGCTGCCATTACTAGTAAAAACAAAAAATCAATCCCAGTATATATACTGCCAATTGTAAACACTATAACTTTCACATAAACTAATTCATTTTACTGGTATTGGGATTTTTTTTTTTTATTTTTAGCAGACATGTAGCAGAATACATATTGGGCCTAAATTTATGACATTTTTTTTTTTTTTTTTTTACGTTTTTGTTATTGGACATGTTTAATAGCAAAAAGTCAAAAATATATTTTTTTTTCTCAAAATTGTTGCTTCTATCTATTTTTTGCGCTATAACATAAAAAAAAAAATGGCACAGGCGATTAAATACCACCGAAAGAAAGCTCAATTCGTGGGACAAAAAGGACGTAAAATTCATTTGGGTGTGGCGCTGCATGACCGTGCAATTGTTAAAGTAACGTAGCGCCGTAACGCAAAAATTGCCTGGTCAGGAAGACAGGTAAATCCTCTGGAGGGCAAGCGTTTTAATAGAGGCACAGACGGAAAAAAAAACTGACAGGAATTCCAATCCTCTCCACTTTCTCCAAAACTAAAAAAAAATATCTGCCTTTAGTTATAGTTTTAATGCATTACCTGCATTAGGGAAAATAAAAACTTTCACTAAATGGTTGCTCCCCCCCCTTCCTAAATATTAAATCCAATACCAATTCAATGCTGTGCCCATCTGCAGCAGTGCTGCTTTTTCTTCCTGGTCTCAGAGAACAGATTGATAGCAGCGGGAGCGATTGGATCCTGCTGCTGTCAATCAAATCCAGTAAGGAGGGGTCAGGGTCATGCCGCTTTGTGCATGTGTCTATGAAACCACAGGGCTGGGCTTGGGAACAAGTCCACACGTCTGCCTCTATAGCAAGGGGCTTGCTGTGGTGGCAGACGCATAAGAGGGCGAGCCAGGATCACCGGCGGAGGACCCCAGAAGAGGAGGTATGGGGCTGCTCTGTGCAATACCAATGCACAGAGCAGATAAGCATAACATGTTTTAGTTAAAAACAAAACAATAGACTTTAGAATCACTTTAAGGGCTACATTATTCCCATGTCTCTTCATCCAATTTCTCTGTTGCTATGGCAGTGCTAGGAGCTTGGGTTGAGAATAACTAGGGTTACCAGTAACATATATTATTCCTATCTCACATGCTCACAAGAAGTGTTCTCAATTTTTTTCACATACTCTTGTATGTGTGAAGGTGTATGTAACTTTATATGTTGAGATTCAGCATCACCTACACTTACAAAGTCATTTTTTAGTAGAGTTCATAAATACACTATACTATAACATATTAACAAAAGCCAATAAAAAAACTTATAACCTTTTATTTGCTGTTTTTACTGGATGAGGCATCCATAGAAAGCAAACCAGTTTCTGATGAGAAAATCTAGAATTGTCATTCTGTTTACTATATCCAATTTCACTGAAAGTGATGCAGTAGAGCTCTCTCTATATTCTAACAGTTTGTTTTTATATTTTTCAGTGGGAGCTGGAGAAGTTGCCAACTTTGCCGCATATGCTTTTGCACCAGCTACTCTTGTGACACCCTTAGGAGCTTTGAGCGTACTGGTCAGGTACTATGCCTATAATTTAACTGTTTATAAATCTGAATGAATATAATATTATCATATCTGTTTGCCTTATCTATATTCTTTAGTAGTCTATTTAGTCCAATTATTTTATCTATAGTGATAGTCTGTCTAATTAATATATCATCTGTCTGTTTTACAACACAGGCTTACACTTTATTCACATGTTTATATGACTAATAGGTCATATAGGTTTAAAGTTGCAGGTCTGACATGTACTGTTTATAACCATGGTCCAAATCTGCCATAGCAGACAGAAATTTACATTGACATAAAGGGGGGGATTTACTAAATCTGGTCCACTCAGAATCTGGTGCAGATGTTCATGGTAGCCAAGCAGCTTCTAACCTCAACTTGTTCAGTTAAGCTTTGCCAATAAAACATGGAAGCTTACTGGTCTCTATGCAGAGTGGCACCAGATTTTGCACTCTCCAGTGTTAGTAAATAACCCGCAAATTGTTTCCCATGAAGTTGTATATTTTTACTTGTAATCAACAAAAATTGAGCAAAAATGAATACATTTTAATGCAGTAGTAAACCGCAAAAAAAACACACCGGCAAGATAATGTCATAATGTGCTAGTATGTATTGCATACTAGCACATTATGAAGGACTTTCCTTAAAACAAAGCCCTCCAGTGGTGCGCTGTCACCGCTGCAGAGGCGTCCATCTTCACCTAGTCTACCTACTGGGTTCACGACCTCCAGCCGTCTAACTGGCCAATCCGCAGTGATGTCACTCTTCCGCATGCGCGGGACTGTCAAGTCACGACATAGTGCTTTGAAGGAATAGCACGGGTATGCCATTCCTTCAGAGCGCTCGGGGCAGCTCTCAAAAAGAGCACATATCTCCTAAACGGTGCACGTTTAGGAAATATTCATTTTACCTACAGGTAAGCTTTTATTATAAGCTTACCTGTAGATAAAAGTATACAAAAAGGGTTTACTACCGCTTTAAGCTGAACTCCAGGAAACCTAAAAAAACCTCCCTGGCAGTGGGGCTGTGCCTGCATTGCAAGGTTTAAATGCGTTTTGTGTCTATTGGACTTGATAAAGTACTTTGGACACAGAGAAGTTATTGTTCATGACTATTTGGGTTATGATAACCTCAGGTAAATAAACACTGGCAAAAAAAAAGGCAGCAATTCTTGCTCAGTCATAAACCCTCCCAACTCCACTAAGCTCCAGTTTTGTGCTAGTGTCACCTAAGAACACAGGGAGACACAGTGATCAGTGTGTCTCCCTGTGTCACTCTGAAGATCTCTGTCATGGGCTCCATCTCCATACTTCATAGCCTGTCCCTTACGATCCTTATGGAGTAGTGGTGGGCTGCATCCAGATTGGTTGCTATGGCCAGCAGGCCAAGAGAGACTGTATTTGGACCATACAATGGTGGGGACAGCCTGCAACATCTGCAGTGTATCCAGTGACCTTACCTGTAAATGAACAGGTCTAGGGCAGTGAACCCCCTGGAGGGGAGTCAGGTCTGGGCAGAGCTTGAGGTGACCTATAGAGATGGCAGGGTACTATAAGGGTAGTTCAACATGGCGTACACAATAGTGTCATTGTCTTTAAATATGCCACAGATAAGAGGTTTGAAGCCCTCTTCAAGGCATCCTCCTCTCTAGTTCGTAGAAGCTCTGCAGCCTGCAATAACCGCTGTGGGTGTTTGCCAAGCCCTTAAGGTCTGGGCGAAGGCTATACTTCCATTGCTGCCAATCTGACCTGTAAGATCCTGCCATCTGGCAGCTCCTGACAGACCTTTCAAGGGCCTTTAGCTTCACAGTTGATGCCTTGGAAGGTTCCATATGGCAGCTTTCTAGAGTAGACACCATGGAGTTGATTTATTATATTAAGTTAAGAGTGCAAAATCTGGTGCAGCTCTGCATATAAACCAATAAGCTTCCAGGGATTTTTGTCAAAGCTTTATTGAACAAGCTGAAGTTAGAAGCATATTGGCTACCATGCACAGCTGCATCAGATATTGCACACTCAGTTTTAGTAAATCAAACATGTCTGTCCATATGAGGAGGAGGATCCTCTGGCTCAAGTGTTGTCAGCAGAACTTTTCAGAAAGAGGAAATTTGAAAGGCTGTTCTTTGAGGGCAAACACTTGTTTGGACTATCTTTTGATGCCTTCAAACAGAATGTCAGGGACCCCAGACTTTACCGCGGCGCACGGGTCTGCGCATGCCCGGTATGCCGGGGCGCACTTGCGTGCGAGCATTAGGACCTGCAACGGCAACGACGGTCGCGCATGCGAACTCGCGATCGTGGACACGTGCCTGGCACCAGTGAGGGCGCAGGGCGCCCTATTTAAACAGTGACATGTCTGTACTCTAGTTGCCGTATGGTCTTTACCTGTATCTTGTGTTTCCTGAGAGATTGCCTTGTTGCCGACCCTGCCTGACCCTGATTCGCTGACTGTCTCCTGCTCTGATCCCTGGCTTGTCTGACCATTCTCCTGTCTAATCCTGCACGTTTAATCGGCTGTTACCGAACCTGGCAAATCCTGGTCACAGTGAAGGGGTGCCCCCACTTGTGCGGGTTGGGGGAAGCTTACGGGACTTCTCTGCTGCTGTGACTCAGTAAGTCACAGATGACGGCAGTGTGGTAACCAGAGGTTATAGGTTGGAGTTTCACTGCTTTTTGGTTGCCATCACCTTGGCTTGCAGGGTTTCTGAGTTGGCTGCGCTCTCCTACAAGAAACCTTTCCTGGTTCTTCACCAGGATAGGGTAGTGTTGAGACCTTGGTCCTCTTTCTTAACTAAGGTGATTTCTTATTTCCACCTAAATGAGGATATTGATCCTAAACATTATAAATGGAAGGTGCCTTATACTTCGGATGTTGTTTAACTTGTTCAAATTTATCTGAAGGACACTGCATCATTAAGACCATCAGATTCCCAGTTTGTTTCACCCAAGGGTACTCACAGGGGTTGGAAGCGTTCCATTATTTCTAGGTGGCGTTTTCTAATTTCTCAGGGTAATAGTATCAAGGACAAGGTCTACCAGATAAATGTTTGTGCCTCTGCGGATGCTAGTTTTGGAAGAAAGTTCTTGCAGGCAACTTGTAGTCATCTGTTTTGTTTTTGAGGCATGTTGGTACACATGTACATTTTGCTATACAGTAAATGTGTATATAAATTTGTAATCTTTAACCTGTTTCTGTTGTGTCTGGGCACTGTGAAAATTCTTTTCTTCGATTATTAGTAGTAGTAGTGTGTGATCCTAGATATTGATGCCATCTGCTAGCCCACATAACTCAACCCTTGTTGACTTTGATATTGGTACTCTCCGCTCCTCGCAAGACCTCCTACTCTCTAGTTCCCTGGTCTCCTCCTCCCATGCCCGTCTCCAGGACTTCTGCAGAGCCTCCCCCATTCTCTGTAACTCTCTACCCCAATCCATCAGACTATCACCTACCCCCTCTCCTTTAGGTGCACCCTGAAAACCCATCTCTTCAGGGAAGCCTACCCTGCCCTCCGCTAATTGCCTGATCTCCACTACTCTTCCTACCACTCCATCCCCCACAGCTATTTCCTCCTGTACCACTATCCCCTCCCTCCTAGATTGTAAGCTCCAAGGAGCAGGGTCCTCGAACCCCTAATGTATCGAATTGTAGTGTTACTGTACTGTCTCGTGTACTGTCTCTCATTGTAATGTACAGCGCTGAGCAAACTGTTGGCGCTATATAAATACTGTATAATAATATTATAATAATAATATCAGGTGGTAAACACCATTTGTGTTTTGTGGGCATTACGATTGAAAAGAATATAGCGACTGTCTTTGATGCTCCTCCGGTGGAATCTTCAAGGTATCAACTGAGCACAAGCCGGCACAACAGACGTGGACCTTCACTCCCTTGAGAGAGTCACTATATTCTTTTCAAAGGGAAACAGAAGGAGACACGTGGCTCTGCAGGGGGAGTAAGTTGCTAATACCTGCATACTATGAAGGTGTTTTTTTGGATCCAGTCATAGAAATGCAGAGGGCTGGAACCAATGAAGTAGCTAGTAAGGATCGCCAGTGGATAAGCAGAATCTGATCTCATCCCTAAGCGTGTATGACCTATCTATTAGGTCAGGGAAGAAGGTGAGTGCATGGTGCACCTACCCGGTGATGGGAAACACCACAATATAGTCGGCACAGTGGAGTAACACATGTAATTGTTCACCATAGTTTGGAGTCACATATAATTTGTTTAATGTGAGTGGATACTGTAGCACGGCTAATGTTTGGCTATTTAAAGCAGTGTTGCACTATGGTATGTTTTTGGCTTATTTTGATCTGGAGTTTAAAGGTCCAATGGAGGCATAACACGTGGAAGGAACGTCACAGATCAGAAATTTGGAAACACATATTCCTTTTAAAGCTTGTTTTGGTCTATTATAATTTATAGGTCAATGGTCAAAGTGAGCAGGGAGTGGGGCCACAACTCAAGCACGGTGTTGATTATTGCTGGAAGATAACGCAACATATATTGGATGTTTATTGTCATAATTTTGTTACACAATCATTTTTTTGGACTGTCACTTTGTTTTAAAAACTTATGGTTTTAATTTTGAGGAGGTAGCGCACCACATTATTTTCATTTATCTAATTTGAGTGTGAGTACACCAGAGCAGTGAGTGCAGCAATCTTCTTTCCTGATATTATTATCATTGGAACATAGCAGCGCATACGCCTTTACCATTTGCAATCCTGAATATTAAATCCTCTGTGTTTTGTGATGTTTGATTTAGGTAATCATGATTTTACCTGTTACCATTTTACCTGTGAAATATATATTGTAGGACACAGAGATCCCTCTCCTCATTGCTTTCTACAAAACTGAGCCTTAGTGGAGCTGGGAGGGGTTATTCCTGGGTGGAGATTCCTCAGCCAGTGTCAATTCCCCTGAAGGGGGCAGCATAACCTAAGCAAAGCCACACAGAACTATTAAAATGTATGACTAAACCAGTTTAGAAGCCTGAATTCTCT